TCGCCTCTGGGAGCACGGGGCAGCCTCGGCCGGGCAGCGGGGCGCTGTGCCACGGCAGGCTGTGGCGGCGGCGGAGTGACTCGAGCTAAACTCCACCCTCCGTGACACAGTTCCCTTCGATAAGCCCAAGCGATGGCCTGGCTGCTGCAGGTGCTGTTACCCTCAAGTCATTTGAAAGAGTCCCAGTTAGGATACCGGGCGATTCCAAAGTCTTTTCTTCCTAGTACTGAAAATGCAATTTAGGCTTTTATTTCAAAAAGCTCCTTTACAATCAGTCTTTTCGGTAGGAAAACCGCAGACATAGTTAGTAAGGGTTTATGGTACTTTCAAGAAACTTCTTCAAGTAAATTTACTTTTTTTCTGTTCAATTGTTAAAATACCATTTCTATAAATAACCTCTCCTACCATTACATGATGAGTATTCTTCCGTGAGAAGATTTTTACTATAAGCGTAGTAAGTAGAGGTTCATGTTTTTAAAAACTCAGGTCTTTAAAGTCTTGGTCAGTCTTTAAGGAAATGCTCTCTCCAGAAATGTTTTTCAACTGTCTATAGTATTTTTATTTTCAAACTTTGACTGAAAACAGCGTTTACTGACAAGAACAAGAACAGCAATAAATAAAGCACTTCTTAACAAGTGACATCACTGCATTGGCTAACAATGGTGAGAACAGCCTCAACTCTTTGGATACTCTGCAACAGAGTTGTGGACAGTCTGGAGCCCCCGGGCAACCTGCTTTGCAGTTTCTTGCCCAGTTTTCACATCTGCAGCAGCACCCAGCGGCGTTCAAGGGCTCGACTGGCGCCTGGCCTCTCGCTGCCCCAGGGGCAGAGGACGAACGCCGCCGATCCCGGTTCGGCCGGAGCGAGAGGCCCTGAGGAGTTCCTCTCCGGCCCTGCTGTAACCGGCAGCTCCGCTGGTTTCATGGCAGTAACACCAACGTTATGGATTTTGGGTTTCTCTATTTTTTTATGCATGTGTTTTCCTTTGTGCATCTTAAATATAACCATCGAGTGGGTCAGGCCTTATCTGTGGCTTGAGAGCTTGCCAGCTGGCGTATGCAAGACTGCTTTGGCTGCATTTCAATGCATTTTTAAGTTCTGACAGCTTGTTTTATGTGGAAAGGAGATGGTATACACGATGTACTCTTCTGGCAATTAAGGAGAAATTAATATTAGAGTAAAAACAAGCTGCCTCTGGAATCCGGTCAATTAGGAAAATGAGATGGACTCACTTGGAGCACAGATCAGAGGAATTTTTAGTTCGTCCTCAAATAGAAAATTTTAAAAGTACTTTTTGTCTGTACAACAGTCATCGTGGGGCTGTAATTCTGTTTTATAACCATTGTAGATTACGTAAACTGTTCGTGTTCTTGCTCAACATCTCAGAGCGTTTTGGGACTTCTGTTTAACTTTATTATTTTGTTAGATATAACGGTGGGCTATTTATGGGAGTACGAGAGAAACTACTCCGTTAACTGTGTCACTTTTGTACGTGGCTAATCTGTAGAATTTAGGTTTTAATTAAGATTCAGAAGTTTTTATTCTTAAATTTTTCATCTTTAGCACCAGAAAAACTGTGGGTTTTTTTCCTCCAAACATGCTTTTGTGTTCCTGAAGCAAACTTGTTGGTGACTTTGGTGTTCAAGGACCATCTAGCCTAAAGTCTTTCACCTTCCTAATGCCACAAGAAGTGTGACTGTCAGGGGTGGGCTGATGTATCACATCCCTGCATTGTCACATGGAGTCATTCCTGCATTTCAGGAAACATAAAAGGCACGTGATTTGTTTAAAAAATTGATTTTCGTGTTACTTGAAGGTGCTGAACCAGCAGAGTTCAGTATTGTTTTTTCATATATTTTCACTAAAAAATTCAGCCAACTTTTAAAAAATTGTTGATACAAAACTTTGGTTACTGAGCTGAACGGGGCTGTCGTGACCTGTGAGGTGTAACGAAGTGTCTTTAATAAAATGACATGGTGCAGTCCGAGGGGAGCGTAGTGGAGTTGGGTCGGTAGAAGTCTGTTAGCCACTGAGCGACAGTATCAGTCAGTGATCCTGAAGCTACAGCGGTTTGTACCCAGAGCGATTTACTGCAGTTCCCCAACAGACCTGGATAAAAATCTGTTTATGAAATAGAGATTTGAAACCAAGTTCTGTGTTTCCAAACTGGAGAACACAGTACAAAATGCATTTAATAAACTAACGGGCAATACAGAACTAGAAACTTGCAAAGAAGTCCTGTAAATAACACAGAGCCTGTGAGCTTGGATTGACTGGGAAGACACATCTGAAGGGAATTCTGTCCAGATTCACGCTGTCTTGGTGGCATGAATGCAGAAATACTGGGAATCACAGCAGGTACGTGAGATAAGCTGGCATTTCTCAGGAGTCACGCTGACAGCTTACAGGTTTGGAAAGGTCCCTACGGGACGTAAATCACTGCAGGGCAAGGGGTGAGTTTAAGGCTTCCTTAGTTGGTGGCAACGTGCAGTAGTTCCAGAGGGCTGGTGCTGCGCAGGCTTCAGCTGCCCTTAGTGCGCTGCCTCCCGAGGGAAGGTGGAGGCAGAGCTCCGGCAGGAGAAGCTTCTTTGGAAAAATGGTTTTGCCTTGTGCCCTTTCAGAGGCACCGTAAAATCGTACCCCAGAATTCAAAACCAAGAAGGTGGCTGCACACAAAATTGGCAGTTAATATTTTGTTCCTCCAACAGCAAGTTCACAGTCAAAGTGCTGTATTTTGGTTTTGGCACAGTACTGCGGGGCAGGTATTGACAAGTTGAAGTTAGCTCAGTAAAGGGCAGCTGAAGTGATTGAGAGAGATAAAAAGACAACCCATGCAGAATGAAGACAGCTGACAAACTGAACGGAGAAATATATATATATATATTTTTTTTTTTTTTTACAAGCATGTGAAAGGTGCTTTAAAAGAGGGGGAAAAAAAGCAGTTGTCTTTGTTAGTCTAATCCTGCAAGACAGATAATGAATTTGAACAGCAGCAAAGGAAGCAGGGATGTTTGATAAGCAGAAAGCCAGTTACGCTGAAAGCAGAAACAAAAATTTGATTATTTCACTTGGGATGAAGAAGAATACATAAGCTCCATAAAATTTAGCAGTAAGCGCCCATTTACCACGGCAGGTCTTAGGCACCAGTACTAGCGTGGGCAAAGTGGGTGCCTCTTCACATCCAGTGGTACCATGTAGCTCCTGCTGGAGAGCCTGTCGGGTGCAGGTTGTGCAGCTCAAGCTTCACTTGCAGACGTTCCCCCCGAGCCTGGTCCTGTCTGGTACCAGCGGCAGGAAGGTCCCAGGCGTCCTCAGGCGCGTGGGCAGTACCCAAAGGCGCACAGAGACACCAGCATCTTCAGCGTGCAAGTGAGGGCCCAACCAGGTCATTCCAGCGATGAGGGGTGAAGCCTGTGGCGGAGGTCAGGATCTTCGCTTAGGGCATTGCCCGGTGACAGCACAGCCAGGCAGAAGGAACCTGTCCACCGTGTGCCGTTGAAGAAACACCACATGCTGGCTCTGCTCGGTTCAGCGCTGGCGATCAGTCAGTGAGGTCATTGAGGGCGGAATCCTGGTCAGCGGGAGAGCTGCCTGCTCTGCAACGGACCTTTGTCTTTCTGGCAGCGTGTGTCATGGTACAGCTTCAGAGATGATCTGTTCTCTGTATGACCGGGACATGCAGTCTCACATCTCCCTTCGTGTTCGTGGCCCAGAGAAACAAAAGATCCTTCTGTGGTGTCTGCTTCTCCTGCAGTTGGGAATAATTTGGATTAATTAAGCCTGGTCTTCACCTGGGGCAGCTACGATCCTCTCTGGCTTGCTTCAGCTGTTGCAGGTGTTGGCCCTCACCCTAGAGAGAAATGGAGATCCTGCTCCACAGAACACTTAAGAGTTCAACTACATCAACAAGAGTAGGAGGAGGTACAGTATTCTTAATTACCCATCTTAAATAAAGTTATGACAGTGGGCAGATAACTGTGTGGTATTTCAAGAGCTCCTAGTGAGAACAACAAGTAAGTGAAAACTTCCTGCTATCAAGGGAAAAAGCGGAAGCATTTGGTATGGTAATTGCCTTGGGAGAATGATTCCACTGACACCTCATAAATGCAAACCCCACTGACCTTCCCAGGAACCAGTGACATACACCCGGGGGTTGTCACGACTGGTCTGAGCGAGTGCCGTCACCAGCTCAAGCCCCCGCCTCGGTACAGCAGCCAGACGTGCCCGTCCCCGTCAGCTGCAGCAGCAAGTTACAGAGCAGTTGGGGCCAAACGTAGCTGTCGCCTTTTTCTGACAAAATGGAAGACGGGGAAAAAAGACCCCGAGGTTCATTCTGAGGAAGGACAGCTGTTTGTTAATGCGGCCCCTCACAGGCGGGTGCCAAGGAGAGGGCCTCTGAAAACTTTCCGTCGTGTCTTTCAGACCACTGCTGGATTTACGGCATAACCTGCTGCTTCACGCGCTCTTTCACAGAGCTGTGCTGGAACTCCAGGTTACTTGCAGAGTAGAAGGTGGATGTTACCACATTTGATCGCCATCTTCTGGCATTCCTCACCTTACTTCCTAGTGGGAAGAGGAGCCTGTGTACTCTGAACATGGCAGTAATAGTGTTCATTCTGTATTGGGACCAGTCTCACCTGGCGTGCTGCCTCCACATGGCTTCACGTACTTGCCGCGTGCCTCAGAGGGGACTGCGCGGAGCGTTCCTCTGCTAAAGGCTTTTAGATGGTTTTATTCTGTGCGTGGTACAGAACACGCCGTCAGACGGGAGGCACAGCGTCGCTTTGCCTGGCCTTAGGGACGCGATGAAGCGCGGTGTGCGGCAGCCCTCGGCTCTGAGACGAGAAGCTGAAGCTGCTCTTTGCGACCGTTCAGGTAGAAAAGCCGTGGGGTACCGAGAGGGAACTCCGGTGTTCGTACGTGCCTGAGGAATGATTGCTTGCGCTGCAAAAACCTTGTGTTCCTGCAAGACAGTCCTTGGATTTTTAATCTCCTTGGAGATCTCCCATCGTCTGTTCTGTCCCAGGTATGACTGATCGAGCCTGTTCGTTTTTATCTCGGAGGAGCAGTTATGTCGGGTGCCTCAGTGACTTCCCAGTATTTGCAGGCTGTTACCTGTGTGTTAACACAAGTGGTGAAGATACCTTAAACCTTGATAAACTGGTTTGTGCTGGTACTTGTGATCTCTGAGCTTTGAGTTTGTTCAGGCATTTTTTCCCAGCTATCTAGTACTCTGTTCCCTGTTCCTTACTTCTGAAGGATTAAAATGTTATTTTCTTGCTTTGTAGCCATTTCCATTGGTTTCCTCTTCGCGATGGTTAGTGAAAAGGGGCGAATTAACGGCGTATGTAGAAGACACTGGACTTTTTTCTAAAAGAACTTCTAAACAGCAGGTGTACTTCTTCCTCTTCAATGACGTCCTCATTATCACCAAGAAGAAGAGGTAAGATATATAATATAATATAAATAATATAAAATTGCCTTTGTGTCCAACCCTTGAACCACAGAGAGAACAGCTGAGTTATTGCTGTCTGTTAAAATTACTGTGACTGTTGCGTGTGCCTCGCCCCAGGGGACATGAAAACTGAAGCTTTCTGGCTTTGGAACGGCAAACTGGGTTGCATCCGCAGCATTGCTGCGTGTTTTCTAGCCCCTTGCTTGTTTGAAAGAATGAAGGAGATTCAGAGAAGCAAGTGGACTTGGTACATTTGCAGCATTAACCAGGAGAAAATGAGAGCTGAACATGTTCTAAGTCCAGCAAATGTTTGTAAAGCCAGTTGTATGTTTTAACATGCTGTGTCAGCGAGAGGAAGCGAGTTAAGAAGTTACTTGAGTTTCCAACATTGTGCTGTTGGATTGTGTTTAGAAATGACAAGTAACCGCTTGTTAAACGGGATTTATTTTTGGTACACGCAACTGAAATTCCAAATTGTCAAACAAATTCAAAAGTTCATCCTTGATGCCTTGGCAAAGGGAGGAGTTTTGGAAGGATAAAGGAGCAGTGACTTCCATTCCCCTCCCAGCTTTCCACAGATTGAGGGTGACATACGGGATACAACTTCTAGCAACCTCCGTTTAAATCTTTATCACTAGATTTGAGGGGAGCTTTAGAATAATTGAATTGAACAGAATTTGCATCCTGTGCCATTGCTATTAGATAATACTTGATAGATAAACCAGATTCCTGAGGCTAAAAACTGTTTTGAAGAACAATTGCTTTGCGTCTGGGTTGGCCAGTTAAGCCAAATACCAGCTATTGCTAAGAGACAGCCTTCTGTGAAACTGCAAATCTATAATTTACGTGTAATAATATATAATACAGAGTCTGGGAAGAAAACACTAATATTTAAGCAAAGAGAAAGCTAAATGAAATGGAGGGGAAGAGAATATTTTAAGTGAAGAGTTTTTCTAAAGATGGGAAGAAAAGCGAATGGATTTCTCCCCAGCTGTCTTCCTGACACGCGCACGTCTCAGATTCAGTGTTTATCAGGGCTTGTGCTGAGGCGTTTCTGTGCAAGTCCCTTGTTAAACTGCTGGCAGCGCCGCACAGGCTTGTGTCGCGCTTCTCTGAACAGCGCGTTTCTTTTCCCACGGGACTGCTGTGACGGGGCGCTGGGGTGGGAGCGAAGTACGTAAACACTCGAGTGGGGAAGGCAGCGAAGAACCAGTTATCTGTGTTGTCACGTTGTTTATTGGTTTCCTATGCGATGGCTCCTTGTCCAGACTATAAACCAGATTTTTATAACAACATATCTTATCCAAACTTCGGGGCTTTTGGCTTGTAACTGCTTCCAGCTGTTGGAATGGAAATGTCCTACATGGGCCCAGGAGCTGGAGCTAAGGAACGCTTCGTGTTAATGATCAGATCCACAGAGCTGCTCTCCCAGGGCCCCCTGGACAGACGGAGGGAATTAGAAAGGGCCGGTTTCTGCGAGCCTCACAGATACTCTGAGCGCGTACTGTGCCCAAGTGAACAAGCTTATTAATCATATTTGAGCATTTGGTGATCTGTTTTCCCACCCGCAGCGTTGCCATGGGCGCCACAGCACTGGGCAGAGATATTTGGCACTAGTTGAGTTTAAATGTTTGTATTTTTTCTGGAGCAGTTACATTTCAGAAGATTCTTAACATTGCACAAAAAAAGTCACTCCTCACCACCACGCTAAAACCAGGGGTTACTGGGTGCTCCAGGCCTCTCCCAGCGGTCACCCGCCAGCTGCCCCCCGAGCGGTTTGTCGTGGGCACGCGTGAACTTGCGATGTAAGTCAAGGAGCTCCTGTGGCACTCCGAGGACTTCAGAGCAGCGCAGCTGGCAGCAGCTGGGGGGGAGTGAAGGGAACGGGGAGGCTGCCCCTGTGCGCTCTGTTGGAGTGTGGGCGGCTCCGCAGCGGACGGCACACCAGTAGGTGCCTGGTCTTCTGCCAGTGCCTCTAGGATTGGCACACCTTCCCTGCCAAGGGATATAAAATAGTCCTGTGGTGGCATCATCTGAATCTAAAGAAAATTTTAGCAAAAAAGTTCAGTCTTAAACTGCGGATGAACACTGGCAGGTCTGGATCACCTGATCACCATAATTTTAAAGAACGTGTTCAGTGTCCGCCCTGTCACGGCGCCGCCTGGCTGAGCGCATTACGTGCCCGTTCACGTACAGCTGCTCACGCCGCCGCTGGCAGCTCTGTCGGCGGATTTCGTTATCCATCTGGAAGGCGGAGAGTTGGTGGGCCTCACCGGGGGCACAGGAGGCGAAAAGGTGGACTGCCTACTGGTTTCAGTCGGGCTGTTTTGTTGAACAGAGATGGGATTTGTAGAGGTTTAGCTCCGTTGATGGATGGTAAGGAACGGACTTGCTGCTCATTACACAAACGCATAGACTGCATTGCTTTTCCAGATGCGAGATTCCCAAGTAACAATGGCAGCATCCCCGGCCGGTTTTGCTAGTTCTGCCCGTGGCTAAGCAGGGATTGCCCAGACTAAAATACTGAACTGACCTCTTTAGATAAAAAAACCCCAAAACACACAACAAAAATACAAACAAAAACCCCCACAAACCAACCCCAGACAGACCAACCAACCTTTCCCTGTTTTAGAGTATCTATTTTAAGAAAAAAGGAAGGGGCGGGGGGGGAGATTGATAAATCTTAGATATAAAATGGTCTTTCCTTCTTCAGCTGGAACCTCAGCTACCACAGACGGCACTTGAAACAACTGTCCTCAAGTGATAAGTAGCATCTTTTTGTAGATAAACAAACGAATTTGAATCTAGAGCCGGCCTGAGATCTGCGTCTCTACTCCCTCCCCTCTCGTAGCCTCTCTTGAACCACTCGGGCTTTTCTGCAGTAGGACAATGACAGTCCATTTCAATGTGGTACTTTTGGGGAAGAGCTGCTGTGCACCTTCCCAGAAGATAAGGACAGACACAGTATGTTTTAATTAAGATCCCTTTCAGCATCCTTGGGTTGTACGTGCAGAAATTACAATTTAGCTTTCCACATGCTGAAATACCGAGGATTCTCCCAGCTTCTCAGTGTGCTCATGTTAAATTCCTTTAATTAGACCTAAACCTACTTGTAATCTCTATTCTTTCTACTTTGGGACCCAAGAAGTCATGTGTAACAGCATGATTAACCTGGCTTCATTTTCACAGGGCTCTACAAGAGTTTGTTGCTTCCATTTTGCTTCCTGCGTGGTTTATTTTTTTATTTTTTTACTCCAAGGAACATGGAAGGAACAGGCCGCTCAAAAGCGAGGTTAATTGAACCGTGTGGGGAGGATTGAAAGCTATTTCAGCTCTTGCAGCAGTGCTCTGGGAGGTGCTGGTATGTTTGTGCCTTTGTCAATGGTGCCTGAATGGGGAGGCGTGATTCTGGCCCTCGGAGTGGGAAACACCAGCGGATTGTGGGGAATTGTTGGTGCCGTTGTGAGACCTGGGGAAGAAGAATGTTCATCTTGGGAGCTACAGTGATTTCAGTCCTGTGACAGACCTTACTAAGCTTGTCAGTCACTGCTGCTGCTTGCTTTGTAAAGCCCCCAAACCCCTCAACGGAAGAGGAGAAGAAAAAACACTTGTGAGAAGGATCAGTTCCGTTAGTGTCATGTTCTGTGTCGATTGTTTAAGAAGGTACAAAGCTGTACTGCAAAAAAGCCCATTTCAAGTATTTAATTCACCGAACAAAAGTAAAAACATACCCCACACAGCTGAAATGAGAACTTTGTTTTTACATCAGACACTGGCAGAAACTACTAATCCACAAACACGATATGGTCTGTGAACCTGCTGTCACTTGAATGGAGAACGCTGTCAGAGTCACAGAAATCAGCAGTAACTTACGTTTAGGTATCATCACGTTGTAATGTTGCTCAGTGGTGTTTGAACAGTTCTGCAGGATTAAAAATAAGAGTTACAAAGACCATTGTATTCACTACCGAGGTACTCGCAGGTATTTTTCTGACAGTTCGCAAAACAGGTGGATAGATCTCCGTTCAGTCGTCACCTCTCCCTTCTCGTACAGTAGTTGAGCAACCGTAAGGGAACACGGGGCTTCCCTTGCACCTGCCAGAGGGGGACGTCGCCACCAGCGTGCCAGAGGCGTCTGTTCCAGGTGTTTGGGATTTCATTCGTACCGGTTCAGCGCATCTCTGGCAGCCAAACTAATCTGCTCAAGTATTTTTTCAATTTAAATTATTTCAATGACCCATAGTACTCTGAGGCTCTAGCACAGCTTTTTAGCACTAGAGACTGGGGCCTACGTAGATTTTACTTCAAGGTGGAGTGTGTACTAGTTGCACCTTAAAATTTGATGTATTTGATTTACTCCAAAATTTGACAAACACAGCAACGTATGGGCCAGGAGGGAGCACTGGCTTTGTGCCGGTGTAGCAGGTTTTGTCCTGCCTTTTCGTGTTACACTGCTGTAGGACAGTAAATCTGAACAAGTTGACAAACTTACCTGAAGTTATGAGGTAGTAATTAGTTGGTCAGCGTTCTGGGTGTGTGATAGATCCTGGTAACCTTGCGAACGCACCAAGAGCTCTGGCAGGCAGGCTCACTGGCTTCAGTGGCAACAACAGCTGCTTTTCTGGTGATCAGTGCTGATTCCTGAGTAAGTGATGTAGATTCTTTTAACGGTTTCCTTAACTGTGCTTCATGACTTCAAAACTTTGGAAAGGCGCAGTTATTTTCCCCTTGAAAAAAACACGTTTCCAGTATTGCCCTGACAGGAGTAAGCAGCACAGCCAGCAGCCGGGGGAACTGGCTGAACTCCCGCGAGTGCTGGGTGCTCTGAACCTGGAGCACGTGTCGCAAATAGAACAGGGGAGCTGACCTACCTGCTCCCCGCTGCCGCCAGCGCTGCCGTGTGGGACAGCGTGCCGTGTCTGGATGCTCTGCTTCCCGTCTCTGCCATGGCTTCGCCTGTCAGCGAGATCTCGATGAGCTGAAGCGATCCTCATGTTCAGAAGTAAAAGGCTGCAGTTTAGGGAAGAGTGTGCATTGTCATTTAAGTCCTTCCCCTGTTAAAACTGGCAACAGTTCAGCACCGTGCTGTTTTGTCCACCCCTCCACCTACATTTCAACCGTAAGGAAAGCAAAGCTCCTGACTTGTGTGATTTCTTAGAATTCTTTAAGGTCACTGCTGGGAAGTTACTAAGTACGTGTAGCGATCGTTACTCAGATCACTTAGAGCTGGTGTATATTTACAAAGTACTTTCTAAAAGGTAAATTGCACAGTGCTTTTGCAAGACCAACAGTGTGTGACAAACCTTTGCCCGTTACTAAAATTCTCAATTGACTAAGGTTATGTTTCAGGATACTGTAAAGTAGTTTTTGGACTAGACCTTCTATGTGGACAGGGAGCACAGGTGATTATCCCGTATTTAAAATGAAAATCCTGTCTGGAAGCAGGATACATACCCATAGCTTTGCAGGCACAGGGAAAGGGAAACTTACTTTTTTCCCTATAACATTCTAAAATTAAGGTCTGTTGTTTATTTGAAGCTATGGGGAAAAAAGTGCAATTTTACGTAACTGCTGTGCCTGTTTTCAAATTCAGCAGAGTCAAGTCGAGCTTACGCCATCTCAAGGATGCCAAAGTCATTAACTGTGCCACTAAACGAAATTCCACAGGGTATAAAAACTGATCTGCTTTGTATCTTGGAAAACTAGTAGTTTCAAAACGAAACAAACAGAAAAGATGAAGATCTGAGGTGTCAGAGGAACTGTGCTGTACCACGTAGTTAGAAGTGGACTCGAAGGCTGAGTTTGCTTCCAGGCATACCTAATGGGAAACTAAACATTAAACTGGGGGTTTTTTTCTTCCCTCCTTTGTTCTGCAGTGAAGAGAGTTACAACGTCACCGATTACTCGCTAAGGGACCAGCTGGTGGTACAGCAGTGTGACGGGGAGGACCTGCCCTCTTCTCCTGTAAAGAACGCTTCAACTATGCTCTACTCGCGGCAGAGCTCGGCAGCTCACCTCTTCAGGCTGGCGGTGCTCAGCAACCACGCCGGCGAGAAGGTGGAGATGCTCCTGGGAACAGAGACTCAGTAAGTCAGTCGTTAGAGCGGCTGTAGTTTCTCACTGCTCACCTCAGCTGCTGCCCGCCCTGCCCCGCTCGTGGGAGCACGAAATGCCCAGCTGCTGTCGGGCGAGCTTAAACCAAACCGAAGCAGGTGCCCCAGCGGGCAGTGTGCGGCCGACCAGCCGTGGCCAAAGCGGCCTCTGCCGGGGAGTGCTGAGTCCCTTCTGGCTGTTACTGGGGAGGCAAACCAGCAAGGGCTGCAGGACAGAGATTTAAGCAGTTTGGATTTCTTGGGGTTTGGGGGGCGTTGTGGAAGGAATTTCACTTAAATTAAAAGTAATTTTTCAACTGAAGTGTTACCACAGTAAAAAAAATCACTCCATGCTCTGCCATACAATGGGACTGGAGTGAACCACACGACCTAGTGATTACATGCTGCCACACAGCGATTTCTTGCTGTTTAGTTTGAACTACAGGTGTGACTTCAGTAGCTGAGTCGCCACGGGGTTTTGTCGTAGCACGAGTACGAGGTACTTAAACGCTTCTGTAACAAACCTGAGAACTGCAAGTCAGGACACAGGTTTTCTGCCCGGCTTAGCTCTTAAGGTGGCGCTTTTATCTGGTGATCGCTGTGCCTGGAGGGCGAGCGCCTGCAGCGAGCCAGACCAGCGGGCAGCGTGCCGCAGCTGGAGGGGCAGTGCGCGCGTACAGCCTGCCCGCGGCACGGCTGTCTTACCAGTTCAGCCCGCGGCAGCCCTCCAGGAGCAGAACGTGGTGCCAGTGGCGGCAAGGTCTGAACTTTCTGATGCAAGGCCCGCTGGAGCGGGCGAGGCGGTGACAGTCAGCGTTTGGGGCTCTGCAGGGACGTTCCCCCCCTCAGCCCGTGGCACGCTGTGCTGCTGGGCACGCCAAGCACCTGAGCGTGCAGCTCTGAGCGTGGTGCAGGTTACTGTGAGGAAAAGGAAGATGCGGCTTTAATGTAGGGACGGGAGGCTCCCGGGGTACCGACCTTGATCAGGCCATGGATACTCTGACTGCAGAGATTCATTGAAGCTTGCTCTGCCTCTGATACTTTCCTGCGTGGTTTGTTCCTTATTGTTTTAGTTTCTTGCCCTGATTGTCGGTTCTTGTAGCCATGTGGCATTTGCCCCGTGTTGTCCGTAAGCAGAGCACAGTGTTAGCAGGCCCAGGTGCGCCCGATGGCATAGCAGGGGTAGTGGGCCGGCCTTGGTAGGGTG